TGTGAAAGTGGTCAAAATTGTAGCAACCACAGAGCCTGCTTGCTCTGGTACTATTTCCTGTTGCCGTGTGGGGAGTTCCGATTTCCTGATTCATGCTGGCTGGTTTTGTGTTGGGGGTTGCAGGGTGGCTATTAGAACCATAGTAATAACATCTGTACAGACCTCTGTGAGTTACAAAAGAAGGTGTATATATTGTAGTTCATTTAATTTTAGAGCTTTGAACAGCTAGCTGTTGGATCTTGGGGAAATGATCTAACCTTTCTGGGCCTCACATTTTCCTTTATAAAATTAAGGGGTTACACAGACTCCAAGACCCTTGGGTTGGCAGCTTGTCAATGGGCTCAGTGAATTGAGAGTGGAACATTTATCTGAACTCCTTCCTTCACTAGCCACATAAAACTTACCCTGTGGGGCTTCCTGGGAACAGATTTTCATATGATAGACAAAGGTCATTCTAGACATGAGACAATGGTGAGTGAACAAATGTTAATTTGAGGCCCTCTAAGTCAAATCACATTTGGCTGATGCTTGCCTGGAGAGCCTCTCCCGATTACCAACAGGTTTCTTGGGCTCCATGAATCCCCCACCCAAGTCCTTATCCCTCAGGATTTGAATCACTCTCTGTACTCATCTACCACACAGAATTAGAGTACATTATACCATGCTTAAAGAGTGTCCTCACACTCCAATTTCAGAACAAAAGATGAAAATGGGCAATTACTATTTATTTGCATAACTTGGACCCAATGAACAAAACCAGAACTTTCTACCCAAACATTAACACCCTCTCCCAAGATTCTTGATTCTCTTTGATATCCTGGCTGTGGGGCATATATTTTGGATGGAGGAACAGGAAAAATGGTATTCCCTGCCTTGGATCAGAAAGCGGTCCTGGTCCCTTCAAATGAAGTGTGAGACAGCTGTGTTTCCTTCTGTGCTCCTGTGTCCCTCAGGGAGATAAAACCCTAGCCCACAATGGCCTCCCAGGAATTTAGGAACTTTTCCTCTGCTAGAGAGGACCAGATACCCAGTGTGCTTGGGAGGAAAACATTTTTCACCCGCTGGACGAGGCCACATCTGCTTCTGGGAATGAAGCCTGGGCAGCTGTGGGCAGCTGCGCCCCTCCAGCTGTTCAGGATGGACACATTGGCTTCCATTGTGGCCTAAAGGGCCTGGACAGGTGGTGGACTCTAGGGAGGCCTGGCAGAAAGGACAGTGCTATTGATTTCCTTCCCTGAGATGTTAGCTGAGTGGACTGTGGCAGGGCAGGGCAGGGTTGTTGGGGTCAAATCATCCATTATTGAGTTTTTCTTTGTGTGAGTGGATTGCTGATTGAGTGGAATCGCTGAAAGACTCCCTAACCTCCAAATTAAGCAGAGATTGAACAGTATTCCCACAGCATTATAGACTGCTAAACTGAATAATTTCACTGAAAACATTCTCTTCTTTCTCATTCTTCCAGAACGATCCTGGAGATTCAGGTTCAATGCTGGGTGAAGGTTCCGAGAGCAGGGAAAAGCGGATGTAGGGAAGAGCTGCTTTATTCGGATACACTTCTGTATCTTAAAAGGGACTCAGAAAGTAGACTTTCAGGCTGAAGCAGGTAGAGCCAACCTGCCCAGGTCAGGTGGGATACCAGGTCCCCAATTTCCAGGAACCACAAATACTAAACAAAGTAGGGTCTCCCTAACTGGAGCAAATACTGGGGGACCTTTGAGCAGGGAGGGGAGCTGGGTCAATGATCTGTGGATTTAAGGAGTGTCTCATCTGCCTGGCTGGGCAGCCCGCCCTTTCTGGCAGACTACTGCTTTTCCCTCCACCACCAACACCCCCCCTCGCCCCCCAGCACAGCACAGCCCCTGCCTGGGCCACCAGCCAGGATCCTGGCAGCCCTGACTCTCTTCGAAGAATGTGGAATGGCCTCTACACTGTCAGTAACAAAGAGACATCCTTTTGATAACCCGGTCAGTAGGCTGCCCCTGCCATCTTCCTGTTGCTTTATTTACTTGGATCTTGTTCTTCCTACCCTCTTCTGTCCTTAGAAGTCAACCCTAAGTCCTGCAATCTTCAGTCCCAATCCAATTCCAGCCCCAAACCTCCCCAACAATATTGCCTCTCCCATTGTGACTCCCTGCAAGCTTCTCTTGTCCCCCTGTATTGCGGGCTGGCAATACAGTGGTACAGCACAGAAAGGGTCCTCCAGTGGTGAATGCTGGAATCCTGGGGGGTTCTCAGCTCAGGCCAAAGCCTCTAAGAAAGCTGCCAAGCAGCTCAGGCCTGGACTAAGGAAATTCTTTGTATGGGACCTTGGAGTAGGTTGCTCTGTGTCCTGCCATGGGCCTGCATTCAGAGCCTGAAGGGACTGCCAAAGGGGACTGGAAAGGGCCATGAACCTGCCAACCTGCTTGGGCTATGCAGATGAAAAGAGACCCAGGCTCACTTCCTGCCTGCCACCTTCTGTAGAAGTCAGAATTGTTCACACAACCCTGTCCCTTTGGGGGACCAAGTTGGGCCCCCTTCTCAGCTTAGAGGGGAACCCAGATGGGGGGAGTTCTACTCTGATGAGCTCGTCCAAGGATATCATTTTGCTCATGGGAAAGTACACATAGGTACACTACTCTGGGAGAGGCCCTTGTTTTTGTTTTGGCTTTTGCATATATTAACTGTACAAAGTAATGTGTTTCATTAGGACATTTTCCTGCAAGCGCATAGTGTACTTTGATCATGGTCACCCCCTCTATTACCTTTTCTTATCCCCCACTCCTCCTTTTGGGAGATCCGTTTTTTACAATGAGGGAATCCAATTGTTTTTCACAATTATTTCCATTCTCAGCCTCATGCACCCCAAGCGAGTCTTAGTTCAATCAGCTCTGGGGCCCCAGCTTGACAACAGCCAGAGTAGCCCTGGAGCTCCCTCAAGTAGTTGAGTGCACACAGGCTGGAACCCTTTCTCCAGGACAGAGCATTGAGACACAGCTGGAAAACGGGCACAATTAGCCAGCGGTCATAAAAACTCAGGAAGCAGCCTCCACAGGGCCCAGGCAATGGCAGTCCCTAATAAAGCGATTGTTCCAAAGAATGCTAGCATTCCAAAGACACAGGCCGGAGCTCCGCCTGGGCTTCCAGAGCTCGGGCTTGGGAGGGGGTTATGAGGGACGGAAAGGGGGACTGTGTCTCAGGAAGAAGAGAAAGATGTTTGCTAGATCAAAAGTCTCCCACATTATGCCTCACTGGAACTCTGCATACCCCCTTTCTGTCCTTCCCTGAATTATTTGGGTACTGTCATGGGGTTTGCAATTTATTTCCAGTTTTATTTCTTGGGAAGTGAGATGGTTCTTGGTTGTCCCCACCATGCCCCTGGGAGGAGCAGGTAGGTTTTCCCACCTCTAGGGAGTGTCACTCCATGGCTCTGTCATATTGTGACACCTGCAATTTTAATCCTACTCATAAAACACAAATGATGGGAGGAACTAGGAAGTGTGAGTTCCCCCAGCCCTGGGGTAGTTCTGATAGCACTTTGGTCTGTCTGTACTAGGCAGTTTAGTGACTGTCACCTGTAAAATAAGGAGGATAATGACACCAGCATTGTCCCCAATCCTGTGACATGTGAGGATCAAGGGAGACACTGGAAAGGTCTCCAGAGATGACAGGATGAAGGAGATGCTGACAAACGCTCGATAATGAGAAGGACAAGTGCAGGTCTCCAGGAAGTGCAGGCAACCTCAGGTTTCAAGCAGGATAAAAACCAGTGAGTCAGGCTGCCCAGATTGGGGCCTGGCAGCTACTAACCTCATATCCCACCATGGCTAGGAAGGCGTCTCAAAGAGGAAGCAAGGCCACCATTGTGGAGATGGACACAAGCAGGAGTCTAATGTTGCTGGGTCTCAGCTCCTGTTGGGACAGTTTCCTGGCTGCACAGTTCCGGTCCCCATGTGGCCACCTCCAGCCCTGGTCCCCTTGGCACAGCTCTCCAAAAACCAAGGGAATCATTTATCAGTCTTTGCCCACTCGGAGCAATAGTTAACACTGGCCCCGGGTTTTCATTCCTGGAGATGAAAACCAAATTTCGTTGGAGAATATGACTTTGAAAAATGTTCTTAGGACAGCCATGATGTAATCACGAATACCTATTAACTGTATTAGCTGAAATTCTACACTCTCCTTGATTTCTTTCATCACTTAAATTTAAGTATAATAAACATACAAGTGTAGCTCGCTGAATTTTCAAACTGAACACAGCAGTTAAGTCAACTCTTCTCAAAAGACAGAAAGTTACAAGACCCTACAACCCCCTGGACTCCTCTCAAATCACGGTCCTCCAAGGTAACCACTAGCTAGACTTCTACCACAGGCCTATTGGTTTTGTAGTTAAGACTTTTGGTTCCTGAATGTAGGATCAAAAAAAAAAAAAAAGAATTGCTTTAAATTTAACTCAAATCCCAGATGTAAGACAGATTGGATAATGCAGCCTGAACCTAGAGCCATAGTTTATCTTTTGCGACGAGCGAGTGATTTCCTTCGGCAAGAAAAGAAATAACAGAGACAGTTGTTTGGGATGGCAGTTGTCAGGCGCACGGAGCGGGGAAGGAATCCGCCGAGGTTTCAGAGCTCCGCTCGACACCTCAGGGATAGGTCTGAACTGTTTTCATCAAAGCAATGGCTTCTTTTTTTCTTTTCTCTTTGGGACAGAAGTTTCTTGACCGCCCCCATTCCCGCGAATGCATAAACAAGACTGCTCCTGTCTCTAAGCCCAGATTCCCACCAAGATAGCTCTTTCTCTCGCCCTGACTTTTGCAAGTCTCTTGATTTCATTCTTTGAACCTGTGATTGGAGGTTAAAGTGCACGGGGTTGGAAGAAGGAAGCTCTTAACAAAAAAGGTTTGAATATTTAGCTGTGATCAGGTCGCTGCCCCCTCGCAAGCCCCCCCCCCACCTTATCTTTTAAAATGCAAATCGTGTTTCGGGGGGTTGTGCGCTGAGTGCGCGCTGCGCCTCGACGTCTCCAGCCATTGGTGTCTGTGTCATTACTAATAGAGACTTGTAAACACTCGTTAATCACGTAAGGCCGCCGGCCTGGGGCTCCGCACGCCAGCCTGTGGCGGGTCTTCCCCGCCTCTGCAGCCTAGTGGGAAGGAGGTGGGAGGAAAGAAGGAAGAAAGAGAGGGAGGGAGGGAGAGAGGGAGGAGGCAGGTCAGAGGGAGGGACCGCCTCGGAGGCAGAAGCGCTGCGAGGAGCCTGCAGAGCACCGCGGGCTGAGGCGCAGCCATCCGCCGCTCCTCCAGCCCCAGTATCCCATCCTCTTCGCGCACCCCCCGCCCCCACAGCTTCCAGCGTTGGTCCCCAGGCAGCATGGTGAGGTCTGGTCTCGGTCCCTCGCCACCATGTACGTGAGCTACCTCCTGGACAAGGACGTGAGCATGTATCCCAGCTCCGTGCGCCATTCTGGCGGCCTCAACCTGGCGCCGCAGAACTTCGTCAGCCCCCCGCAGTACCCGGACTATGGTGGTTACCACGTGGCGGCCGCGGCTGCGGCGGCTGCGAACTTGGACAGCGCGCAGTCCCCGGGGCCGTCTTGGCCGGCTGCGTACGGCGCCCCGCTCCGAGAGGACTGGAACGGCTATGCGCCTGGGGGCGCAGCAGCCGCAGCCAACGCGGTGGCCCACGGCCTCAACGGGGGTTCCCCGGCCGCCGCCATGGGTTACAGCAGCCCAGCCGACTACCACCCGCACCACCACCCGCATCACCATCCGCACCACCCGGCAGCTGCACCTTCCTGCGCTTCTGGGTTGCTGCAGACGCTCAACCCCGGCCCTCCTGGGCCAGCCGCCACTGCCGCCGCAGAGCAGCTGTCGCCCAGCGGCCAGCGGCGGAACCTGTGCGAGTGGATGCGGAAGCCAGCGCAGCCGTCCCTCGGGAGCCAAGGTAAGCGGCTGCTGCGCCCCGCGGGAGGTCTCTGGGACGCGCAACCGGCCACCGACTGCTGGGCGGCGCGGGTTCAGATTGCATCTGGGGCTCTCTGGGAACTCAGAGCCAAGAGGGAAGAAATCTAGGGGCTCCGACCCCTCCGGGCTTGTCTAGATGCTGCCCCCGCGTCCAGTTTAGGCGGAGAGGAAGAGTTTCCTCTTTCCACCAGCTCTTCATTTACAATCTCGGGACGGCTTCGGTCGCTCCCGGCAATGTCTGCGTGAGCACTGCTGGTCTTGAACGGAATCGCGTCCTTCCCATCTGCTGACCCGGTACTGCTTGAGCAGCTTCTGGCCACCAAGGAAAGGGAGCTTTGGACTCCCCCGGGGCGCGTCTACACCGTTTTCGCCGCGCTGTCTTTCCCCAAATGAGCCACCCCGTAAGAAAGGCGGCCTGGGGAGCCGGAAGGTGGTGAAGCTGCGCGTGGACATTCGGACCTTGAAAACTGCTGTCGCTGGACAGTAGATGCTAAAGGGAAGGGGATGCACCAGGGTCCCCGGCCCAATTACTCCAAGAAAAAGCAGGAAGGCTAGCGGAGAGAGCAAGGAGATTGGGAGGAAACCTTGAGGGTTCAGCTGCTGCTGACAGCCGTCGTTTCTTCCAAACCTTCCCTTCAAAGATGTGTGTGTGTGCGTTTGTGTGTTTTCAAGACCCGGAAATATTTCAGCAAAGACATTAGGTTTGCGGGCTGCGGGACCCGTTGACGCTGCTGGATCTGTCCCTTCTGGTGTTGGGATGTGTATGGAGGTGGGAAGGAAGCGAAATGAATGTGGTGGCAGTTTCTCTGCTATTCTATGAAGTCGTCTCCAGCCCCTAGCGCTTACACTGTTCCGTCTTTGCTCCTTGCTGGCCCAGTCGGGCCGCAAGCAGGTTATGGCCACTTTGCAGAGGTTTATAGGCAATTACAGTCGTATAAATCAGAGCGCTGGTTGGGGGCTGTCTCTGGACATCGGCTTCTGCGTCACTGCGCACATGCCGGCAGCGTCCTGGTGGGAAATGCCGCCAAGGGAGAAGGCCACAAAACACAGATCTGAGGTGGGCCTCACATCTTTGGCTTGGTCTTCTCCCCAAGAGGAGGCGCCCTCGTCCTAGTAGGACGCACACCCAGAAGCGAGATCCCGCAAACCTTCCTTCTGAGACTGCCTGGGGCGCAGTGTTAGGGGTCGCTTATAGCCTACCGAAGTCCCTTTGCCTGTCTGGGGAGAGTGGTCGCGGAACTGGGGTTGGGTAGGGGCGGGGGAAGCCACAGGAGCCCAGGCCGCGGGGTCAGCAGATGAGAGGCCGCTGTGAAGTCCCGCGCCAAGGTGACAAGGCCGCGGTCGGCGCCGGGCGTCCTTGTGATGTTAATGTGGGGAGAATGCGGCCCGCGGGGCCGGAGCCCAACTCCTCTGCGGAGCGTCATCTGTCAAGGGGTGGAGGGGGGTACTAGGCCCGTCCCGCTTTGATATACACCTTCCCAGCCCAACCATTGTCTCTTTTAGGGCCCGGAAAGAGGGTGGTGACTTTCGCAGTCAATAATGAATTCTGACAAGTCCTTCTTATCCCTCCCCTCTATCAGCCCCCCTCCTTGGTTCCCAGGGGGTGCGGGGCGCCTCCAAGTCCTTGGGGATGCAGAGCGCACCGGGTCCTGGTCACGGCGTTCCCTGGCCCGCTCGGGATACTGAAAGGGCAGCACCCAAGCAAAGGCCGCTCCGAGGCACCCCGAGGCGAGTACCGCTCCGGGGGTGTTCGGCTGGGGGAAGTGGCCTGCGCCCCTCTCCCCAGGGCTGGAAGCATCCTTCATGGCTCCAAATAGGCTCCAACTATACAGGCCCATCCTGTACTGTCCGCGCGACCTTGGTTGATTCTGTCTCTCCTCTGTGTAGGGACGGTGCCCAGGGCAGCCTCGAGTGGGTTTCAGGCGGAAACGCGTGCGAACGCGCCCACCGCGTAGACTGCTCAGGAAGTGTTAGTTCCCTTTTCGTTCTTGGCGGGCGAGGGGTCGGGGCCGCAGCGCCCATTCAAATGCGCCTGCCGGGCTGTGTTTATGTTAATGCGCCTGGCGGGGAGGGGGATGAAAGCCGGGGCCGCCATTTGCTCAGTAGTGGTAATTCAAACAGAATGCGGTTGTTATTAAGGCATTGAAAGGGCTTTTCTTTGATAAGATCGCCTTGTCCTGCATTGTTTGCGGCTGTGTTCCCCTTTCAACGGCTGGGGGAGCTCCCTCTGATCCCGCCTGTATCTTCCCAGGGCGCTTTTGTTGTGATTTGCAAAGGGTTTTACCTGAACAAAGTCGGCCTGCGGGGCATTAAACACCTCCAGGCTACTTCCAGCCCCTTTAGATCTTGCTGGAGGACGGGACACTGAGCAACTGAACCTGTTCAGCTGTAAGACCACCCCAGCCAGGGACAGAGTTGGTAGAGAACAGCTCCTAGCAGGGCTCTGTCAGGAGCTGATCCAGGACAGACCCGGTGAAGACCTATGGTGGGGCCTGGTCCATGGGCAGCGATGCTGTTTGTCAAGGTCCTTCAGTAAAACAATCAATCCAAGATTTAATATGTTGACTCAATCCAGTGATCATAGATCACTTGTCTGGATAGCCCTGGCCAGCTTCGCAGAGGGAATAAATGGAGAATTAAAAAAGAAAAAGTGCCTCAGGCCGAATCTGGTTCCCCAGGTAGAAAGTGTCCCCAGAAGGAGGAACTTTATGCCTGCCAGCACAGGTTATGCCAGAATTCCACAGGATGACATTGATGTATCCTGGGGATGGCTCTGGTAACTGGAGGAAACCTGGGAGCCCTTGTACCCCTCTTTTCACTTATATAAAATAAAGAAAATTAGATCCATCCCACCTAGAGGACACACACAGAACCCCAGGCCAGCAGTCTTCAGGGTGGGTGCAACCTCTCCTAGGCCAGATAATCTGTATATTCCTTGGGACTCTGGTCCCTTCCCCTAGCACCCTTTCCCTGGGAACTAAACATATTCCAGTACTATAATTAGGTTTATGGAAAGGTCAGGCTCTCCTCCTATGAGAGGTTTTATTTTTCCTTAATTTTTAAAAACCACTTAACCCCAAGGTTAGTTAGCTTCACACCCTTTTCCTCTTCCCCCTCCCATCCTGGGGGGGGTGTCTTGACAGATTAGGCAGGAGCCAGCCAAACACTGGCCCCCCAGGGTGGTGGAGGAAGAGAAATGTCCCCTGGGTTAGGGAGGTTTGTCATTACCTATGACTGATGGGTTACCTTGTAGTTCTCAGCCCAAACTTTTCCTTCCTCCACAGTGAAAACCAGGACGAAAGACAAATACCGAGTAGTGTACACTGACCACCAGCGGCTGGAGCTGGAGAAGGAGTTTCACTACAGTCGCTACATCACCATTCGGAGGAAGGCTGAGCTGGCTGCGACGCTGGGGCTCTCTGAGAGGCAGGTGGGAACCGACTTGTTCACCCTCCTTGGTGATGGCCTGGGGGAGGTCTGAAGGGTTAGGGTTAAGGAACCTAGCCAGGGGGTCTGCACCTACTTCTGTGGGCAGAAGAAAGCACAAGAGCATTTGTCTTTAGGTAGAATACATCTTTTAAAGGCCACCTTCTACCTCTTGGTTGTCTTTTCTGGTGTTATTGAATTAAAAAAAAACTATTTGGAGGGAGCAGAGAGAAAGGGGTGAGGAAAAGCTGAGAGTGTTATTTTAATCCAGAATTCCGTGTGGGTCAAGAAAGACCTATTGTAGATCTGTTATTTTTGTGCCCAGCCCTGCAAGAAAAAAAAATAATAAAAACTAAAGCAGCAACACTTGACACATGAACACTCTCGATAGTTTAGAAAAAACAGACCAAATTCACAGCCAGGAAGCTCCACATTAAATCTCATTTGTAGTTCTGTGGTTAGGAATATTGCATTTCAGTTTAACTGAGTGACCAAAGGTTGTCATATGAAATATACCCAGTACTGGCCTCTCTCTGCTGTGGAGGGAGGAACTGGCAGCAAGTTTCTGTTTTCCTTGGTTCTGAGACTTTACAGTAAAGTTTCCTTTGGAAAAGCATGGAGGGGAAGGAGGAGGACTGTCTCATGAGGTTGAGTTGAGTTTAGGGACACTCCAGCATTGGGCTGTTAGAGGCTTATCCAATGAAAACTTCTAGAAGCTTTGAGTCCTTGCATTGGCGAGGAAGATATTGGTGCAAGGGTTTTCTTTCCCTTCGTGTCTTCACCACCTTCTGTTCTGCCATTTCTAGGTTAAAATTTGGTTTCAGAACCGCAGAGCAAAGGAAAGGAAAATCAACAAGAAGAAATTGCAGCAACAGCAGCAGCAGCAGCCCCCACCACCTCCACCACAGCCTCCCCAGCCGCAGCCAGGTCCTCTGAGAAGTGTCCCGGAGCCCCTCAGTCCCGTATCCTCCCTGCAAGGCTCGGTGTCTGGTTCTGTCCCTGGAGTTCTGGGGCCAGCTGGGGGTGTGTTAAACCCCACTGTCACCCAGTGACCCCCAGTGGTCTGCAGGGCACAGAGCAATTTCAGCTGAGCCATGAGGAGCGTGGACTCTCTAGAATCTTCAGAAGAGACCCCCCCTCCTACCCACAAATGTACACCTACAAGCCTAGTTCTCAGAGGAAAAATGGGAGAGGAGGGCCAGGAATTATGACAAGTGGCACTGATGGCCTCAGGAAGATCTCTTCCAGATTTTTTACTTTTTCCAGTCTGACTCTTTCTACCAGTGAGGAGACAGGAAGTGACCACTTGGGTTTCATTTGGTACTTGCAGAAGTGCTACCTGGACTGACTACAGTGAGCAGGCTTTCAGCCCCCACCTGACCCAGCTCTTTGCCTCCAAAATCTGCAGATTGCATCTCTGGTTGGAGCTGAAGAGAGAGAGAGGGACTTGGGCAAGGCAATACTGGGATCAAGATGGCTGCTTCCTGCTCACTGCCTTCTGAGGACCAGCTGGTCCTCCTGCCTCAGGAGCAGGCACGATTTAAACTGCAGAAACCAGAGGCAGCTAAGATAGAAAGCTGACTGACCAAAGACTGCAGAACCCTCAGGTGGTCTGTGTCTTTCTTCTCAATTCCCAGACCAGGAAAGGCTTGGCTGGTGTGTGTGTGTGCGCTGGGAGGGGGGTGGTTTGTGGACTCCAGGCCTGACATGAAGCCCCCTGCCACCCCCAGGGCTTGTTTAGAAAGCCTGTCACCAGAGTGTCTCTGGGCTGAATGTATGTCAGTGCTATAAATGCCAGAGCCAACCTGGACTTCCTGTCATTTTCACAATCTTGGGGCTGATGAAGAAGGGGGAGTTTTTGTTTTTGTTGCTGCTGTTTGGGTCATTGATCTGTGTAACATCCAAGCCCATCTTTTAAAAGCCTTCTGGATCTATGGGGAGAGAAGTGATATGGTGAAGGGAAGTGTGTGTGTGTGTGTGTGTGTGTGTGTGTGTGTGTGTGTGTTGGGGTGGGGAGGGTATCTGAACACAGTTGACCTTTTTTCTAAAAAGAAAAAAAAAGAACTTTCCAGATTTTAAGTTCTGTAATTTATCTTCTTCAGCTTTTGACGGAAATTCTTTTTTTCCTTTTTCTTCTAAGAAATGAAACATCTTCTCTGCTTGTAAGCTAGGAGTAGGGGGAAAAAAAATCAGGGAGAGGGTGGAGGAGGTTATCTGGGCAGCCCCATTTCACCCCAGAGCGTCAGCAGCCTGAAGGAGCCGGTTCGGAGCCCTTCCCTGCCCCCAAGCTTGAGTTCAGCCTTGGACTGTGGAATGTGTGGTTTTCCTGGGGGTGCCCTTGGGCAAAATGCACATCTGAATGGTCAGCTGCTTCCCAGCTGCTGCGGAATTATGGGTGGGGGTGGGGGGGGGTGAGAGGGCCTTGTCACTGCAGCTCATCAAATGCACACGCAGCAATGCAAACACTAGGCAACCGCCTCCATCAGTGACTCCCCTCCTTCTTAGGTGGGTCCCACAACCTAGCGAGTTTAACACAAGCGTTAAGTAAGATACTGTTTCTGTGTGCTCGGGACAGTTCCATGAATGCCGTCCTGAACCACGAATCATTTCCCTGAGCCCTTCTGCTTTTCCCTATCTGGCGGTGTTCTTATCCCACCCTAACCCCTACAGACAAGAATTCAAGAGTCCCTATAAGAAGATCCATGCAATGGCAGTTGTTATCTGGCTGGTCTGTTGGGGCCGGGGTGCCACCCTTGAGTGCCTGGGAATGGAGAGCTTTCCCCGCAGTTTCGGTCTTCCCCCCAATGCCTTAGCGCCCAATGAGCGCCTCCGCGGAGGGAGGAGGTGCCTGGAGGGCTGCTGGGGAGGCCGAGCCCAGCTGAGAGACCGCTGGAGGCGTCCATGCCTCCTGCTGCACCTCTCCGATTCCGCCCCAGCCCTTCCGGGTGGCGCATTCCGCTCCAGGATTGGGAAAGGCGCTCTGGTGGCCCGGCCCGCGGGCGCCGCACCTTGGAGCCGGAGGGAAGGGGAGGGGGCTATCCGCCGAGGGGCAAGCTGCGTGGACGTCCCCGGGGCTGGGGCTCGCGGTTCAGGGTCGGGTGATCCCCGCTGCCCCCAAGTCCCCAGGCGCGGGAGGGAGCGCGGCCCCGCGCCTGACCGCGCCCACACGCCCGCCTCTAGCCGCCTCCGCGGTTGCTATGCGTTGCTGTGAAACGCCTGTCAATAAACCCTGTTTGGACAGTGGAGCAAGAGCACAAGGGTTGTTTGCTTAGTGGTTAGAGGTTCAAAAGTCGGCATTGTCCCGCTGCAAGCGATTACAAGTTCTTCCCCTTCCCGGGGCTCAGCCCCTTGCACGCGGGATCTGGGGGCCAGGGGAGCGGCGCTGTCTCGGCTGCTCTCTGACATACAAGCACTCGGGCGCTGCTGCGGTGCCCGCCAGGCCTCCCGGGCCAAGGGAAGGCGCAGACACTAGGATCCAGGGAGAGAGCTCCCGGAAAAGTGCGGCTACTGCGCTTCCGACGCCGAGACGGAATTTTGTCACCTTCCCAGTGATCCCGAGGGAACACGGGTCGAGGCGCGAGTGGGCAGCACAGCCAGAGTTCAGGGAGGCTTGCGCGGGGCGCCTAAGGTTATTTTAGAGCAGTTGGCGTAGCTATCCCGAAAGCCCCCTACTTACCTGGAAGTCCCCTAAATCCCACGACCCTCAAGGCGCCCAGTCATGGGCTCAGACCGCCAGGGGGCGCGCGTGCTCTGGGAAGAGCTGGGGCTTGGGCCTGCTCTCGGTGCGCTTTGCATGGGGCCACCCAGAAAGAACCCAGGTCTTATCCGGGCAGAAGGTACAATCTGCAGCACTTTTCCCCACCCAGCCTACTCTCACGCTGTGGCACGGAGATCTCCCCACCACGACCATATGCCTGTTGAAACTAGGCGCAGGGACTAGGCTGGGTAGCTCAGTGGAAGAGAGCGCGCTTTGTATGTGCACAGGGCCTGGGTTCCATCTCCAGCACCAACAAACAAAAAACTAAGTCAGACGTGGAAAATTCTTGGATCTGTTAACTGCTTAAGAAACAGTTAACAGTTCTACCATTCTAAAAATTACAGTGTTCCGTGGTCACGGTATTAATGCATGGTAAGACTGGAAATTTAAGATAAATATGGTAAACGAATGTTGTGGAACCCATATCGAAAGTTATATATGAAAACAGCCTGAGGGTTTTTTTTGCCTTGAGCAATTTGTGGGCTTTATCATAACGTTAACAAGGGCTGCTAATGACCTTTCTAATTACCTCTAGTAACACGCCTACATCAGTCAAGAAAATTAATTTTAAATAGCAACTAAAACATAACAGCAATATTCTTGCTGTCGTTATTCGCAACCACTCAGGAGAAAAGTGAAGGCAACAAACAGAAAATGAAAGAAATCTCATTACAGAGTGGCAAGAAAAGCTGTTTTTCTTAGGACCATTATTTTTGCACCTTGTTTTAGAGAGAAGCTGTTATTTTCTCCCTGCTGACCTTGGGAAGATTGCAGCTCTAAGCTACCACTTCCCTATCTGTAATATGGGAGTCAGATGAGGTAATGTCAATGAATGCATCTTTACAGCACACACTTATATGATTAGACCCTAATACTGATTGAGCTGCTTCTTTTTATCACTCGCCATCTTCTGCAAAGTGCTCCAGGGTCCTTACAAAGAACCTTTGAACAGGACAGTTTCTCAAATCCTGGTAGAATAACCCCTTCCCAGAACTTCTAATGCATTGCTTTCTTTGTCAAAATAGCCTCAAGTCTGTGGTCTATGATTTTCACCTGCAGGTGTCTACATACAATCTTGAGTGACAAGCACTAACTAACATTCCAGATGTGAAGACAAGTTACCGATCTGATAGCTTCCTTGTCCTTTCATCTACCAGGAGAAATGTCTCAAACACACTCAGTTTCTAGGAGAATCGAGATTAGTTAAGGGTGTTTCTGGGAACCTCCTTATAATTGATCAATATACTCTTTTTATGCCCCAAAGGAGCAGAAACAAATGTTTTAACTAAATGGCATTATTTTTCTTTATTTTGAAACACTTTGTATCTGCACATCAACTCCGTGCTCTTCCAGGACCTATTGTGAGAGCCTGTCTTGGTTTTCTTTCTCTAAGTCTGATTCATTCCTAGAAGTCATTTTAATGCAAACATTTTACTATTCTCACAGAACATCCCCAGCTCATATAAACTTCCAACCCCACAACACATTAATCTTTCCTTTCCCTTCCTGTTCTTTTCTTCAGCAGAGCACACTATGATTATAGGAAACCAAGCAGCTTTAAGTGATAGCTGAGGGGACTCACTGGGTGACATTGGACCAAATGAATCACTAAATGTCTTCTCTCCTTAGCTACAAATTGAAATCTAGACATATATCTGAATACAGATATACTTCTCAATACATATATATTTCTTATATCATGACTTTCTAAAAGGTTATGAAATTAGATCTAGAAAAAAAAAACTCTCAAATTCTAAACAAAGTAGAATCTGTCAGTCCAGCATTACCTTGACATTCTTCTTGGAGGAATTAGTCTAGAGATGGTGGGGGCAATCGCATAGGTGACCTTTTGGCTCCTATGTCTCTAGTGCCCAAACATTACAGTTTGTTTTAACAACAGTGTTTCCAAACTGAAATTTGTCATTAACCACAGAAGGTGTGATAATATCAACTAAGTAACCAAACCTCAAAGTTAAATAACAGTTTGGTCTTCTTTCCACAAGATCTTGGCCATTTTGTGCTAGAGATTTATCCATAAGCCAAAGCACAACCAGTTTTTGTTGTTGTGTGTGTTTGTGTGTGTGTGAGAGAGAGAGAGAGAGAGAGACAGATAAAGAGAGAGGAGAGAGAGAGAGAGAGAGAGAGAGAGAGCGCATGGGTGCCCAGCACCTCCTGAATGCTAGGCAAGTGCTCTAACACTGAGCTACACCCCAGAACACAACATTTTGATCCATGAAGACTTCTCAAGATGAAAAGATTACACACTGTCCGGTCACAAGCACACATTTACTTAAAAATAATACTCAGCTTATGTATCAGATTTGTGTATACTGTAAGATCCTCAGGCAGGTCATACATTCTAATATTTGAGTGTTA